TCCCCTTCTAAGGTAGCTGAAACTAAGAAATTGAAATGTTAAGTAACTTGCCTAGTGTCACACAGTAAGTACCTGGAAAAGCTGGAATTCAAATCCATGAGTCTCTCCACAGTCTACGAGTTCATGTTTTTTTGTTTTTTTGTTTTTTTTTTGCATGGGGTGGTCTTCCGGTGAGGACCGGAAAACCTGCTAGACAAATTCTAAAGGAGTGGTAATGCTACAATTCATGTTCTTAATTGGATTACTAAAAGGCATGAAAAAAAATTTTTTAAAGGAAGCTTACTTTTAAGGCAACTGGTGCCAGCTATTCATATCACATCTGAGAAATGTGGAAATTATGAGATCAAAGTCCAAAAGAATGACAGTTCAGTGTTTGAAAATATTTAAAGGGTAACCATACTGTTTATATTAATATTATAAATTTAATTATTTTGTATGTTTGGAATCAGCAAGGAAAAGTGACAAAATTTGCATTGTATTATATCTTCTTTGCAGAAAATTTTGCAGTTAATATGACTTTGTAATGGATGGGGAGGGAAAAACCTTGAAGGTGAAATTTTAAACTTTATTTAATAACCCTTAAAATAATGCCTGTTATAATTTTGCATTGAGGTTTCTGTTTAATTGAAAAGTAATTTTTCTAAGTAGATTTATTTAGTTTCATAATTTAAATAAAATAGCTAGGAAGACTAAGAAATATGTCTTAAGTAATCAGCTTAATGTGAGAGAATGAAGATAGAATGTACCACAAAGTTATGTGGCAAAGTGATAAGATTCTTAAGCTGTATTGGCCCCCAGCAAATAGGCTAGGCTTACTGTTTTATGCCCTTCAGCCAAGAACACCAGGGACACACTTGTAATTTAACAAGTTAGGTTTACTTTTTGTTGCAGGGAGGGAGGAGTGTTCACTGTAGGGAAACTGTAAAGCACATGTCAGTAAGAGGATATTAGAAAAAGCCTAGCATAGGATTTGGTTATAGTATATTATAGATTGGGTTAATTTGGGGAGAGTTTAAGGAAGTCGATCCTTACTCTGGATTGGGTGACATCAGGAAATGGGGGCAATTCTATATTTCAGTATCTCAGTAAGTCTTATTTATATAAGGAGGACAGACTATTGTGAGGATAAAGCTGTAATTGGTAAAAAAGTTCCTGTCGCTCATTTAGTGGAGGTTGGGGGTATTGGTATTTTGTGGGTTGCACAGTGACCTTGCCTGACTTGAATGTTCTGTGAGAAGGTTTTATGTCCCACAGCAGAACAACATGGCTTAGCTGCAAGTACCAGACTAGTTTTTTTTTTTTTTTGAGACAGAGTCTTGCTTTTGTTGCCCGGGCTAGAGTGAGTGCCGTGGCATCAGCCTGGCTCACAGCAACCTCAAACTCCTGGGCTCAAGCAATCCTTCTGCCTCAGCCTCCCGAGTAGCTGGGACTACAGGCGTGCACCACCATGCCCGGCTAATTTTTTCTATATATTTTTAGTTGTCTGATTAATTTCTTTCTATTTTTAGTAGAGACGGGGTCTCGCTCTTGCTCAGGCTGGTTTCGAACTCCTGAGCTCAAACAATCCGCCCGCCTCGGCCTCCCAGAGTGCTAGGATTACAGGCGTGAGCCACCGCGCCCGGCCCAGACTAGTTTTAACAACATTGGGCCTTAGCTGTGTGATTTAAGCCCAGACATCAGGGGCTGGTTTTTTTTCTTTCTCAGGCCAAAGCAAGTGTATGCTGCTATCATTCCTATTGGTGATGGTGATGGTGATGGTTAAGTGAATATCCAATATGAAAGCAATATTCTTGACTCCTGTACATCTTCATCCTTAAAGTACTTTCGTTTTATTCCACTATTCACTGGTGACATTGTCTTTCTTCAGGACCAAATCCTTGCCCTCTTTTACTTGCCTTTATTGCACTGATCAGGTGTTAAGATGGAAATGGTTACAGAAAATTTCCTTGTCTTGGTTCTGATCTTGTTTCACCATTAAGTATGATATATGTAGTTTTATTTGTAGATAACCTTTATCAGATCTGAATAAGTTTCCTTCATTTCTTAGTTTCCCGAGTTTTAATTATGAATCAGTGTTGAATTTTATCAGATAAATATTCTTTATCTGTTGAGATGATCCTTTATTTTCCGCCTCTGTTTTGTTTATGTGGTGAATTAAATTGCTTGATTTTTTAAAAAAATTTTATTTATTTTGTTGCTTAAACACCGGACATTTATTGTCTCACAGTCTGGAGGCTAGAAGTTTGAAATCAAGATATTGTCAGGGCCATGCTAAGGAAGGTGCTAAGGAAGGATCTATTTCAGGCCTCTTCCTAGCTTCTGGTAGTTCCTTTACTTGTGTCAGCATGACTCCAGTCTTCCCATGGCATTCTCCTTGTGTGCATGTCTGTCTGTGTCCAGATTTTCTCCTTTTCGTAAGTATACCAATCATATTGGATTAGAGCCTGCCCTAATAACCTTATTTTAACTTGATAGGGCCTCCGTAAAGGCCCTATCCAAATACGGTCATTTTCTGAGGTACTGGGGCTTAGGACTCCGATATATCTTTTTTGAGTGGGGAAGCTGCACATTTCAGTCAATAACAACCTGGTACTAGACATTCATTCAGTTTAGACAAAACTTACCAATTGGACACCTTGGTGGGGATGAAATAAAGCCAGAATGCTTCATGACATGCTCATGATAGACATTGCTTGATTTTTGGATATGAAACCAACCTTCTTTTTTTAAATGAGCTCTTTGTCATAATGTATTATCTTTTTAAGAAACACTTCTAAATAACTCACAGATAAAAGAGGAAATCACAGTGGAAATTTCAAAGTACTTTAACGGAATAATGATGAAAATGTGATACATTAAAATGTGAGATGCAACTAAAGCAGCTCTTAGAGGGAGATTTATAGCTTTATATGTATACATTCCAAAAGAGGAAAGATTGAAAACTAAGGATTAAGCTTGAACCTCAAGGAAACAGATGGCAAATTAAACCATTTCAAAAAAAAAGTAAGGGAAAAGAAATAAATATTAGAGGGGAAATCACTGAAACTAGAAAGCAGATGTAAAACTGAGAAATTTCACTCAAGATAAGAGTTCATTCTTTGATAAATAAATAGAATTGATAAAACTATAGCAAAACTTAACCAAAAAAGAGAACACATTACAATATGTTTTTTAAACCTTTTCTTCTTCTTTTGTAACAGCTTATACTGAGATATAATCACATACAAATAATTCACCTATTTAAAGTATACAATTTAGTAGTTTTTAGCACGTTCACAGTTGTGTAATCATCACCACAGTCAATGTTAGAACATTTTCATTACCCCATAAAGAAATCCTGTACCCTTTAGCAGCCACCCCTCATTTCCTCCCAGAACCTCCAACCCTAGGCAATTGCTAATTTACTTTGTCACTGTGGATTTGTCTATTCTGGACATTTCATATAAATGGAATCATTCAGTGTGTGGCCTTTTGTGACTGACTTCTTCACTCAGCTTGTTTTTCAAGGTTCATTCATGTTGCAGCATGTGTCAGTACTTCATTTCTTTTTGTGGTTGAGTGATATTCCATTGTATGGATAATACCACATTTTATTTATCCATTCATCAGTTGCTGGCCATTTGGGTTGTTTTCAGTTTTGGGCCATTATGAGTAGTGCTTCTGTGAGTATTTGTATATGGGTTTTTGTGTCGACATATGTTTTTATTTCTGTTGGGTGTATAGCTAGGAGTGAAATTGCTGGGTCATATGGCAGGGTTAATACGTTGAGGAACTGCCTGACTGTTTTCCAAAGCAGCTGCACCACTTTACAATCCCACCAGCCTTTTACGAAGATTCGAGTTTCTCCACATCCTTGCCAGTACTCATACTTCTCTTTGATTATAGCTGTCCTGATGTGTGTGAAGTGTTATCTCATTGTGGTTTTGATTTGCATTTCTCTGATTAAGGATGTTTATTGCTTACATATTATTTGCCTTATTGGCATATTTGTGGAAATGTCTATTCAAGTCCTTTGCCCATTTTAAAATTGGGTTATTTGGTTTTTTATTACTGTTTTCATATATTTTATATATGAAACAGTTTTTATATATTTTAGATGCAAGTCTCTTATCAGATATATGCTTTGCAAATATTTTCTCCCGTTGTGAGTTGTCTTCACTTTCTTTTGGTTAATCTTTTATTAATATATGTTTACATTCTGTTAATCTAGATATGCCTGGTTGTAAATGTTATCTTTCCTTACCTGTTCCTTAATTTTTCTTTTTTCTCCTTATCTCTGTACTTGTTTTTCATTCCTTCACTGCTTTTATTGTTATACTTTTATTTTTCTTTTCCTTTTTTTCATGTACTTTTTTTTTGGACAAGGTCTCACTCTGTTGCCCAGGCTAGCGTACAGTGGTGTGATCATAGCTCACTGTAACTTCAAACTCCTGTACTCAAGGGTCCTCCCACTTCAGCCTCCGAGTAGCTGGGACTGCAGGCGCACACCACCATGCCCAGCCTTCATGTACTTTTTAACTTCATCTGCATTTTTTGTTTATTCATTTCCCCCATACTCTGAATTCCAATATTGAGAATGAAAATGAGTCCCTTTTTTTTCTTTTTGAAACAGAGTCTTGCTCTGTTACCCCAGCTAGAGTGCAGTGGCATGACATAGCTCACTGGGCTCAAGCGATCCTCCTGCCTTAGCCTTCCCAAGTGCTAAGATTACAGGCATGAACCACCATGCCCGGTTGAAAATTAGTCCCTTTTTCCCTAATATTTCCTAGTAATTGATTTACTGGTATAGACTGTAGCCATTATCAATTTTGTATTACAAAAATCCAATAAATATGAAAATTAATCCACAGCAAGGATTATTAAGTTTTCTATATGTCTTTATTTAAAAATTACATGAAGTATGCTGGTTGTTTCTCTTATAAGATAAATTTGCTGTGAGTCTACAATTAGGTAGTTTCTGTTCTAATTATTAAACTCTCTTTCTCTCTTTTTTTAAAGATTCACAATGGATAGTATAGAAGAACCTCAGAAAAAAGTCTTTAAAGCTCGAAAAACAATGAGAGTGAGCGATCGTCAACAACTTGAAGTGGTATACAAGGTCAAAGAAGAACTTTTGAAAACTGATGTCAAGCTGTTAAATGGCAACCATGAAAATGGAGATTTGGACCCAACCTCACCTTTGGAAAATATGGATTATATTAAAGACAAGGAAGAGGTAAATGGCATTGAAGGGATCTGTTTTGACCCTGAGGAAGGTAAAACAGAATGGAAAGAAACGCCCTGTATCCTAAATGTTAATATAAAAAACAAGCAGGATGATGATTTAAATTGTGAACCTTTGTCTCCTAATAACGTAACTCCTGAACCAGTCTCTCAAGTGACTGCTGAACCAGCTTCTGGAGATCTAGCCCCTGGTGATCTGACTGCTGGAGATGTAGCCTCTGGAGTACTGGCCTCTGGTGATCCCACTTCTGGTGATCCCATCCCTAGTGATTGCTCCCCTGCTGATCCCACCTCTGGTGATTGCTCCCCTGGTGATCCCACCTCTGGTGATTCCCGCTCTGGTGATGCCACCTCTTGCGATACTGCGTCTGATGATGCCACCCCTGGTGATGCCAGCTCTGGTGAACTCGTCTCTGGTGAACCAGTCTCTGGTGATTGTGCCTGTGATGATCCAGCCTCTGGTGACCTGGCCCCTGGAGCACTGGCCTCTGTTGATTTGGGGTCTGGAGCACCGGCCTCTTGTGATCTGGCCTCTGGTGATCTGGCCTCTGGTGATCCAACCTCTGGTGATCTGACCTCTGGTGATCCTGCCTCTGGTGAACTGGTGTCTGATGATCTGGCCACTGGTGAACTGGCCTCTAGTGAGCTGACTTCTGAATCAGCCTTTGATCCCACCTTTGAACCAAGTTCTATACCAGTTTGTGAACCAGTTCCTGAAACTGACAATGTAGAACCAAGTAGCAATAATGTTGATGGTTTTCTTGAAAAAAATGGGCATGATGAAAAGTTACAGCAAATTCAAAGTAAGGACTCAATTGATGAGAAAAATAAAGCTGATAGTAATGTCGATGCTAATGAAGAAACTCTAGAAACAGATGGTACAATTATTTGTTCAGATCTACCTCCTGAAAATGAAAAGAAGGTAGAGGAAGATACTATTACAGAACTTGCTCTTAGAGAAGAGGCTATATCAAGTAGTATGGAAATTGATCAAGGTGAAAAGAATGAAGATGAAAATTCTGCAGACCTTGTAGAAACCATCAGTGAAAGTGTTATAAAAGATGACAAAAATGAGAATATCTTAGAAAATACTGATTCTATGGAAACAGATGAAATCATTCCTATTTTGGAAAAGCTTGCACCTGCTGAGGATGAACTTACTTGCTTTTCTAAAACTTCTCTCCTCCCAATTGATGAGACGAATCCAGATTTGGAAGAGAAAATGGAAGGTTCTTTTGGTTCACCATCTAAACAAGACAATAGTGAGAGTTTGCCGAAAGAAGCCTTTTTGGTCCTCTCTGATGAAGAGGATATTTCAGGTGAAAAAGATGAGTCTGAAGTTATATCACAGAATGAAATGTGCTCTCCAGGTTAGCATATTATTTAAATTCTTAAGATTTTTATTAACTTTAATGAATGTTTAATAAAACATTATTATAAAGTTTTAAATTTCTTTTAGTTGTAGAGAAGGTTGAGAATGGTGGTAACTTTACAGAATGATCTAATTTCATAGATTCTTAACTTCATAGAATTCAGAATTACAGAGTACCCACTTTGTGACCAACATGTGCTAAGTGCTAAAAAGGGAGATAAAATAAGTAGAAAATATGGCCCTTATAGTCTGAGAATAGAGGTAAAATGGACCACCATAATGCTGAGATAGTGAAGTGAGTACATAATTGATCAGAGTCCTAGCAATCGTTCTTTCTTGTTGTCACTTAGGGAACAAATAATTTAGAATCCAAAAGCCTGCTACTTCGTTTCACGTGTAAAATATCATATTTTCAATTAATTTTCTCAATGAAATCTTATTCTTTAATATTCTGTGTCCAGTGAATGACACCACCATTGTTGTAAGCCAGAAAGCTTAAAGCTTGATTATCTATTCAGTAAAGACTTTACCCATTTGCTTCCTCAGCCCTCTTGATTCTTCCTACTCAACCTGCTCTCTTCCCCTCATCTTCTGGATAATCTCCCTATAACCAATTCTCTTGTTTGATTGTCCCTCTCTTTCGATAGATCCCTTTTACTTTTAGGTTGATTCAAACTCCTTATGTAAAAGTTATATAAACTTCATGATTTGTTCAATATCTATCTCTCCCATCTCTTTTATTATTCCCAGAGAAAAAGAGAATGAGAAAAATTCTACTTTGCTTTCATGGTCACACTAAAAAACATCATTCCTGCATGAAACCTTCTCAGTCTTCCTCAGATTGGCATGAATACCTTTCTGTTCCCATTGTATCACATTCTCTCAGATTTAGACATCTATGAAAGGAGTTACCTTGCTAACGGAAACACTGCTTTGTTCAAGGATTAGGAAACAAAAACAGTGGCAGAGCTAGGAGACACAGAAAAATTTCTTCCCCAGTAGTATATCATACCAGCTTTTGGAGGTAGAAATTTTTTTCTTATTTAAAGATGACATTTTATTTCAAAGTGCATTCAACTAAACTTACAGAGAGAGACAGTTCAGGCCTTTCTTGGTTCTAGAGATTTGAAGATAAAATACAGTACTTGCCCTCAGGATGCACGCAAGAATTAAATCACAGGTCATTAAATACAAGGCTGTGAGTACAATGATAATGTTAAATTGGTATTCTGGGAGTGTGGAGAAGGATAAACTTTAAGAGAGCCTAAAATGTAGTCAGGGAAGCCTTGCCTTTCAATATTTGTATAGTATAGGGTTTTAATGAGTCTAATTTCCCTGTAATGGTAGCTCCATCCTACTTGCTCAGGCCAGAAACCTTGGAACCATTCCTTCTTTCTTTTTTTCCCCCTTTCATGCCCCATATTCAATCTATTAGGAAATCCTATTGGTACTATCTTCAGAATAGATCTAGAATCCAGTTCATAACTATTATCACCCCTGCTCTGAGCCACCATCATCAGGCCAAAACAGTACATGGCACACAGTAAGTGCCCAGGATATATTTGTAAATTGAATGAATAATTGATGATATAAGAGAAGTATATAATGGAGGACCTTGGTTACAATGCCAAAGCATTGGCACTAGGAAGCTATTGAAAGATTTCAAGCAGAGGAGAATGATATGATGAAATTTACATTTTAGAAAGATAATAGATGACTGTTTAGGGTGAACTTCACTCATTCACTCAATAAATATTTATACAGAATGTGACACTGGAGCAAGTTCTTTAAAAGCCTTATGATCCTCTGTATGAGAAAGTCATAGCAAATTGCAGCTTATAATTTAATGAGTTTATACATTTTAACTTTATGTCAGAATCTTGACATTGGAGACCATCCCACACAATGCTATTAAGTACAGAGAGATGAGTATTAAGCCATCCTTATTATATACTTTAAAAATTCAAAGTTGGGTTTATTTTTTGGTTATTTGCCTTTAGTTTAATCTGATGTATGCTATTAGCACAGTAAGTTTAATCAAGATTTAATTTCTTAGCTGGTAACTAAACTTTTATTTTGTGTCTTTTTTCTCCTCTGAAGGAAATTTTGTGTATTGTGGGTTTAATTGGTTCTTAAATTGTACTCTATTCTCTTTACATGGCAGCAGAATCTGTTGCATGTCTTGTGTTGCTGTGCATTTACTAAGGTATTACTTTAATCAGTTTCTTTATTCTTAACCATTTTTTTTTTGGAGGCAGAGTCTCAATTCTTCATCTAGGATGGAGTGCAGTGGTCTCATCATAGCTCATTGCAGCCTTGTCCTCCTGGACTTAAACAATCCTCCTGCCTCAGCCTCCGGAGTAGCTGGGAGTACAGGCATGCACCACCATGCTGAATAATTTTTCTAATTTTTTGTCTCTCTCTTGCTTAGGCTGGGCTCAAACTTCTGGCCTCAAGTGATCTTCTTGCCTCAGCTTCCCAAAGTTCTAAGATTACAAGCGTGAGCCACCACGCCCATCTTGACCAATTTTTAATGTCTTCAGAACACAGTATTATTAGCTGAAGTACTTAAGTCTGGTTTCAGTACAGGCTCTTCCTTCTAGCTATTAAACATTTATGTGTATATTAATGGGAAAATATCATCAACCTGTCATTTCAGTCACTTAGCAAATTTGTTTTAAATGTAGCGAGTTAGGATGTGTACGAGCAGCAACAAAAATAATGAACGATATCAGAAAGCAAATAGAAAAGCAATTTTAATTTTATAAAAGTAGGAGAAAGAACTAAAAAAAGTATTATGGATACCTTAATGGGCCTGAAGACACTACCAATTGTGGCATAGTATATAATGAATAATAACTGATACTAAATTATTAAAATCATAGTCTATTTAAGAAGGCTAGCAAAATAAAGATTTCTCTCTCTGGGAAACTTCAGACAACACTAGAGGAGATATATCTATTAGTCATACCGTCCATGTACTCTCCATACCATATACTTTTCTCCAGCTACTATTCCATGTCTGTCCTCTCACGGCCATTCTTTAAGTTATGTTAGCAAAGCTAGCGCCATTTCTCCTTCTATTAACCTCCTCTACTTGCTGTTTAAAAAATACTACTATATCTTAGTAAGATTTTTGAGAAGAAAAATCTGTTTTAGAGTAAACCAAATTTTAAACTCTGATGTAATTTCCTTGTAGATCTTTATTACAGATTTTTGATTTTTTTTCCCCTTGTCCCTTGAATCTTTAAGATAAATCAGATGAACATGAAATGAGGCTAATAAGGATAATTGCATGGGAATAGAATTCAAGGTTTCCTTTTATTTTTGCTTTAGGTTAGCAGCGGTAGAAATGGCATGATTTAATCAATCAAAATTTACTGATGATTTGTTGTGACTGTTTATTGTATTCAGCTAAAATCCTTTATCATCTCAATCCCTTTATATTTAGCTATTATTTAGGTGTTTGGCTTCTCTTTGTGGAGCCTCTTAGTCCTATACACTGGTGTGTAAGTTGCAGATTTTTCTTTTTAGAGTTGAGGGGGACCAAAAATAAAGCAGGTTTTGGAAGGAGAAATATAGGAGGAAGATCAGTTTCAAGTGACTACTATTGCCCAAGTTAGATATATAAGTCTGGATTTCAGAGCAGAGGCTTGACTTGTACAGAAAAATTTAGGAGTAGGTAGCATATAGACATTAGTTGAATTGGAATGACTAGATGAAATCACCTCAGACAGAGTGAGTATAAATGGAGAAGAGGAAAGATCCAAGAATTGAGCTCTTGGCATTCCACATGTTTAGAGGTTGGGGAGATAAGGAAGAATCAGCAAAGGAGACCAAGAAAGAACAGCTGTTGAGGTAGGAAGAAAACCAAGACGTTTTGGTATTACAAAAGCTGAGTAAAGAGACTATTTTGAGGAGGGAGTAATTAACTGTTTAGTATATCAAATGTTGCTGTGCGTCCGAGTTAGATGGCAGAGAAATATTTAACAACCTGGAGATCATGGGTGACTTTGACAAGAGGCAGTTTTGGTGAATGATAGAGTGGAAAGTCTGATTTGGATTTCAGAGAGAATGCGAGGGGAAGAATGTGAGATAATAAAATGTAGCTTTTTTTCTCTGAGTTTTACGTTAATAAGTAGCATAAAAATTCATACAGAGGATATTATTTGCAACTTTGTATTGGTTAAATAATACTTTAAGAAATTTCTGGAAGAAATTGCCAGTCATGCCACATTTTTCTGATATGTCTGCGAGGTTCAGAATCTTAATATAATTGCCCTATTGTAGTTTCTTACCTATGAATTGCCTTTTCATCTCCTTTGCCCATTTTTTCTAATGGGTATGTTGTCTTTAATTAGTCTGTAGGAATTTCTTGTTTTGTTTTAGATATTTTCATGGAACCAGTAATCTAAGGCAGGGAATTGGCATACTATGGGCCTGTGGGCCCCATTTGTTTTTGTAAATAAAGTTTTATTGGAACATAACTATGATCATTTGTTTACATATTACATATTGCTTATTGCTGATTCCTGCCACAAGTACAGAATTAAGTAGCTGTATCAGAGGCCATGTGGTCCACTGAAAATACTTGTTTTTTTGGCCATTTACAAAAAAAGTTTTTTAACCCTTGATCTAAGGCAGCTGTTTTTGTCTATATTTCCTTAAGATAAAGTTCTGTATGGTGTAATTCTGAAAATGAGAAATTTAAGTTTCCTAATATAAATTCTATCTTGTAATCCTTTACAAATACACTTTTCTACCTTTACTTAATGGAACCTTATTAAAGATAACAGGCATCAGATAGGTATTAAACAGATAGGCATTAAATTTGCCTCAGTTCTTTCTCAAAGTTTTTAGGGTTACCAAAATTACAAGATCAGTTATCTGTCCTTAGTGAGCTTACTGTCTAGTATGGTTATAAGGAAAGAATACCACACATAGAACCATGAAACCTTGCCAACTTGTGATGAGGCTATACTCAAGAATACCAGAAGGATTACTACAGAAAGTTACCTGTGAATAAGGACAGATTCTAGAAAAGACATTATTAATCTAATTATTTGGATGAGTTTCAAGAGTCCTGAGAACTACTTGAAATTATATATAAAATTGTGTGCAAGGGCCTTTGATTATTATTCTGGGTTGGAGGGGGCCCACTCTCAGATTCTCTAGAGGCTTTATGTACAAAAAAATTAAAGAAATAAAGGGCCTTAATCCCTCTCTGTAGAATCTGTTAATACCATTTTTCTTATCCCAAGTTCTTTCCATTACATAAAACTTGAGCATAAATTGTAGTTCTGTGAATCTATTCTATAATCTCAATGAGTGTTTTTATTTAAGTATTGAGAATCCAGTAGTATCATCTAGGTATATTTGCAAAATGGGAATTGGATGATAGCAGGAAGTTTTGAGTAAAATGAAGGAATCCCAAGCTAAACTTCACATATCTGTAAGCAGAGAGGGAACTAACATATGCATAAAAGAGGCAGATCAAATCAGGCCAATTTACTCTGCTGTGTTCTGGATGCTATGGCTTGCAGTTATTCTAATTGGAGCCATGGCTAATTTTGTGCTTTGGGTGATATGAGGATTTGCTAAATAAAGACTATGTAAACCTTTTATCTCAAGCAACCCAATTACTCTCTGTCTCTGGAAACTCTGGGGACTAAGAAGTTCAGGAGTTTCTGTCAGTGTTAAAATGAGGAAGAAACAGAAAAAAATATATAGAAAAAATATATTGTAATGAGTTTGTGATCTATCTACAAGAAAGCAAAACAAATTTTCATTTCATTGAAATTGGGGTTGAGAGATGAGATCTTAAAATATTTATAATGAGCAAACAGTAGTAAATGGAAAGTTAATTTTCTAATACTCATTTATTTTAAAGTTCAAAATAGTTTTAGTAATCTTTATGTACTGTGTTAGCTTTTTTAGTTTTATCTTAGTGTGAATAAAATATTTATAGAACCTTAATAGGTTCATCAGTGATCCTGGTCTCTGCCTATTTTCACCTAAAAGGTCTTCTAAATTTTTTTAGCCTTGACTTCTGTCCTCAGGGCTATTGTGATTAAAACCCTGATATATGGAGAAGGAATGTCATATCAAAGTCTTTATATAGTGTGATATACTTTATATTGCTTATTTAATATTAGTTGTAGAATATGATGAAGCAGCATACCTTATTGAAGCCACTGAGAAGCTAGTTGCAGTGATGTAACGGGCAAAAAATAGAAGTTCAAACATTAGTGATTTATTATAGTCCCATTATCCCCCATTTAATGATTAAGTTATTTGAGGAGATTGATTGATCAAAGGCCATTTCTGGTACCTCTGAAATTTTATTTGTTGTAACATAATATAATTTCATAGACATTTTTAGCAATCTTTTTGGTAGCATTCTTTGTTATATCATATATGTCTCTTGTGAAAATTACTTGACCTTTCTGAATTTTACTTTCCTCATCTATATGGTGGCAAAAAATACTGCTTACAGTGTAGGATTATATTGAGGCTATGAAGTTATATATATCAAGTGCCTGCCTCAGTTGTTGGCACTGTTAGCAAAGTAAGTATTATTTTTAAGTGAAGTTTTTATTTAAGATAGCTTTTCAATTCCTTATTTATAAACTAGCTCATAACCATTAAAGTAACATAATGATTCAACCTGTCTGGTCAAAATATTAGGTATTTTGAATTTGTCAGTAGTTTGTAATTTTTTTTTTATAATTGTCATAGCCACTATTCTAGTTTTAATAGTTGAATGTAGAGGAATCTAAATGCTTTCACATTTTATTAATCTTATTGGTGACAGAAAATTACTGAATAAGATTCTTTCTTTTAAAATCTATACTGATAATTTTTTCCCATGTTGAATTTGTAATGAATTGTGGAACAGTTGAATATGGACTTGGTTATTCATTTCTATCAGTTTCTGCTCCCTTTCTCCCCGAAAAATTTTACATTTTGGGACTCTGATTTCATAAAAGGTTAGTTTGGTAACTGGATAGTAACCAAAAATGTAAATTAATGAGCTGTTATGAATCCCAATCAAAGTAAGATTTCCTTTTTTATATTTGTTACAGCAGAAGTAGAAAGTAATGAAAAGGACAGCAAACCTGAGGAAGAAGAACAAGTAATACATGAAGAAGATGAAAGACCTTCTGAGAAAAGTATGCATGTACAAAACAAACTTGCATTAATTTTAAAAATAATAATAATTGTTTCTGTATTTAAGGCCATGGAATATCCTTTTCTGCCCATGAAATGATTGTTAACTTTTGCAATTTAAGTAAGCCACAATTAAATCATTTCATTGATGGCTAACTCAAGAATCTCTGAAAGTATTACTTCATACACTTCAATATATTCTTTTGTTTATTTATATATTTTATTGTTCCACAAGAAAGATTTAGCTTAAAACATAATAAGGTATTGAGTATCTTGAGAAATTGTTTTAGATATATGTTTAGAATGGGATGATAAGAATTTTGTCTAGGCTGATATAAGTAAATGGAAGTATGTGTTTCAGTCTGCTTAAGGTTCTTAAGCTTCATGGGAGGGGGAAATGATAGACTATTATTAGGTTTATAGAAAGATTGGACTAGAAGTCAGGAAACCAGGGCTTTGTAACTCTCCCTGTGATGCTGCTCTCCATGGGTAAGTGCTAATTATAAGAGAAGTTGTAGAATAGAACTAGATTTTAAAAAGTAGACATATATATAGGGATATAGAGTGAGATAGATAAGGATAGCTATAGTCACATAATAGCATTTGCCTTAAAAAAATGTGGAGATTTCAGTGTTTTAATTTTTTTAGATATTACAAAAGAGATAAGATAAAATTAACCTATGATCTCTCAAATATTAATAATATTTGAAATAGAAATTTTCTAAGTGAAGATTTTTGAGTATATATTCTTTGCTAAATGTACATGATAAATGACATTAATTTTATTATTTTTATATAGTTGAAATTCATTAGAATATGTTGAGAATAACTATTATTATGCTATTTTCCTAAAGTGATGATGATTTTTTCTGTATTTACTTGAGGAGGAAGAATTAAATGTTATTAGAAATCTATGATAGAATAAGTAGTTTGTCAGAGGATTCATACACACTATGAAATTTAGCTAAGGGAATGAGTATGAGATGATTTTTTTTATCTTCTGCCTGACACAATTGTTAGATAGTTCTCCATCTTAACGTATTTTCAAGGAAAGAATGTTCTGTGTTCACAATGTGCATTGCTTAACCGTGAGGAGGTTCTTATTTAGCATATTGAAATCATTTCAAGTTTAAAGCTAAAAGCTATACACCTATTTTCCTGATCTCAAAACCAATTTATAAAATAATTGGTTAAGAATGCTATTGTAATAGAAATAATATTTTGCTGAGGATAGATAATAGGCATTAAAGTCTATAATAAAAACACCTGACTGATCAATGTGAGTTTTGTTCTCAGATGAGTTTTCCAGAAGAAAACGTTCTAAATCAGAGGATATGGACAACGTACAGTCCAAACGTCGACGATATATGGAAGAAGAATATGAGGCAGAATTTCAAGTAAAGATTACAGCCAAAGGAGACATTAACCAGAAGCTTCAAAAGGTATTATAGGTTATGTTAAAAGCCATATTGAATAAAAGCACCACTGTCTTTCTTCTTTTAGGTTTTGACATTATTTTGTATTTTACTGTCATATCTGGTTTCTCATAGAAAGAGAGAACTTGAAGAAAGTAGTTGAGCTAAAGTATATTACTCTGTGATAATTTAATTTAATTTTAAATCAAATTAATTTTATTTTTAATAATTTAATTTTAAAATTCTTTGTGACTTCTTTCTGGCTACATAATTTTTTTTAGAGATGATAATGATTATCAAAATGGTTCTGGAGATACGATGACTTCTTCCTTTATTTGCTTTAGTAATAAAAGTGAATATCGTTTTTTAGCTTTTCTTTTTTTTTTCCCGTATTGAACTTTATCTTATAGTGAAAAAGAAATATTAGAGTTTTACATATTAACATTTTATTTTATTTCATTAAAAATTTTTTTAGCTCTGCTTCATCCATGTTGATATACATATATATTCATATTTTAATCTTTATAATAAGCTGATTTTATGGTTGTAAATCTGTACATTCTAAGCTCTTTTTTATGTACTTTAGGGTTAGTATTAAAAATGGTAGTCAGTGCTTTAGAAGGACTATGGAAAGGAGCATTTAAAGTACAGACTTGAAAAACCTCCCCCTGTATCTGTTAGACTAGAGATAGAATTAATTAAAATATTCAGTATGCAGCCAGGTGCGTTGCACGCCTATAATCCCAGCACTTTGGGGTCAAGGCAGGAAGATTGCTTGAGGCCAGGAGTTTGATACCAGCCTGGGCAGCATAGCAAGACTCCATCTCTACAAAACATTGAAAGATTAGCTGGGCTTGGTGGGGGCATGCCTATGATCCCAGCTACTCAGGAGGCTGAGGTGAGATCACTTGAGCCCCCAGGAGTTGGAGGTTACAAGTAAGCCATGATCACACCATTGCACTCTAACCTGGGTGACAGAGTAACCCTGTCTCAGAAAAGAATAAATAAAATATTCAGTATTTTTTATATTTTTCAAAGCATATTCACAAATATTTATAGCAAATTCTTTTTGTGAGAGAGGGATACGAAATGCAAGTGATACTAGTTTTTTAAGATCTTATATATTTAATGATGAAATTGTAAATAAGTGTTAGACCAACGTGTTTCCACTAAGATCAAATATCTGCACTTCCTAGAAAAAGGATTAGTGAGGCAGTAAAAAAGTGGCTTTCTTTCTTCCTTGTTTCTTTTCTTTGGCATATGGAGATAATAACACTTATTCATTCTTTTTTATAGAGCTGTTAGAATTATGAAGGTAGCTATGTGAAAGAATTTTGAAAACTTTCATGTGTACTGAGAGTTTAATTCTTTAGAACATTATTACTCAAGCATGGTTCATGGACATGTACCAATGTCCTATTTATTGTAGGTCCATCATGAGATAATATGGAAATTTTGAGTAGGCATTTAGAAATGTTATAGAAATTTGATATTGCAGTGACATTCTCAGTGTATCTCACAAAAATATCAATCTGTAACAGAAGTTTTAAAAGCTGATCCTTTAAGTAGTTTGAGCATGAAATATTATACCTTGAAATTATTTCCAAAATTTTACCCTCTGGAAATTTTCTATTTTTAGTATATATTACCCTCTTGAGGTATATATTATATATGTAGAAGTGGAGAATTTTAGCAGAGAGCTAAATCTGCTATGTGTTAATGAGTTCTAGCATGTTTTATTCATTAAATTAGCTAATACATCATTACTGTCTTATCTGTACTTAAGAATATTTATTCTTTGCTGCTTGCTGGAAGGCCTGCTTTGCATAACAAAGGAATGTATATTTCTTTAGGTTATACAGTGGTTGCTGGAAGAAAAATTGTGTGCGCTACAGTGTGCCGTATTTGATAAGACTTTGGCAGAATTGAAAACACGAGTGGAAAAGATTGAATGTAACAAGAGGCATAAAACAGTTCTTAATGAACTACAGGTTTGTACACTGATTTGAATTGTATACCCATGTGTCATCATTTTTATAACTTATTTTCTGGAATATGCATTTGAAGTTGACTGTAAAATAAATTTAAATTCTAAACATAAGCTTGTATTAGTTTGCTAGGGCTGCTGTAAAGAAAGTACTATAAACTGGGTGGTTTAAACAACAGAAATGTATCTTTTGATAGTTCTGGAGACTAAAAGTCCAAGATAAGGTGTCAGCAGTATTGGTTTTTTCTGAGGGCTCTACTGGAAGGAAGAATCTGTTCCATGCTTTTCCTTTAGCTTCTGTTGGATTGCTGACAATCTTTGGTGTTCCTTGGCTTGTAGAAACATCACCCTGATCTCTGGCTTTATTTTCATATTAAGAGTTATCCCTGTATCTGTCCAAATTTCCCACCAGATTAGCAGACTCACCCTACTCCAGTATGACTAATTATAGTATGACTCATCATAACTAATTACCTTTGCAATGACCCTGTTTCCAAATAAGGTCACATTCTGAAGTACCAAAGGTTCAGACTTATGAACTTTTAGGGGACACAGTTGAACCTATAACAGAGACTGAGAAATTACTGTACCTAACTTTGTGTTTCTTTTTCTTTTTTTTTGAGACACACTCTCTTGCCCGGACCAGAGTGCTGTGGCGTCAGCCTAGCTCACAGCAACCTCACACTCCTGGGCTCAAGCGATCCTCCTGCTTCAGCCTCCCGAGTAGCTGGGACTACAGGCATGAGCCACCATGCCCGGCTAATTTTTATATATATATATTTTTAGTTGTTTGGCTAATTTCTTTCTATTTTTAGTAGAGACAGGGTCTCGTTCTTGCTCAGGCTGGTCTCGAACTCCTGAGCTCAAACAATCTGCCCTCCTCGGCCTTCCAGAGTGCTAGGATTACAGGCGTGAGCCACCGCACCTGGCCAACTTTGTGTTTCTTAATTTTTTTTTCCGTCACTGAAAAAAGGCTAGCATTTAGCATGCCATAATAAGTACTAAATAATATTTGTGAGGGAATCTTTTTATATTAGTCTACTTCATTTCATGGACCGTATGTTTCAAAGATGTTAGTACTAATCCATATTTATTAATTACTACTTTTCATTTTTTATTAAATAGAGCTATATATTAACATACAGTGCCAGAGCTTCTGGTTAGCTGAAATGAGCATGTAGTTTCATGCTATAGTAATCTGTTTTATTCCAAAACTAAGAAACTGGAAATTTGAATTAGTACATTCATTCTGTCATAAGTAAAAGTACCATTTCTATTAGGCTATTTTAAATATGAACATAGTCTAAACATGCTGAGTTGTAAAACCACTTATAGAGCCTTATTTTACAGATGAGAGAAAAGTGATCCATGAAAGTTAAATCACCATTTCAGTTATGAACCAAATCGTAGCCAAATATGACTAGAATTGGGTGTATTATATCTCCCAGGCTAAAGTTATTTCCTTGATTTCATACTGTTAATTTTGTTTCATGTGATACTTTATTAATAATAAGATCTTTGTATTTTTAATATATCGTTTAGGGTAAAACTAGCCCTGTTTCTCATATTTAGTAGGTTTTTTAAAACTTCATTTTACTAATACTACTGAAAATCTTGAATTAAATCTGAAAATGTCTGAATATATAAAAGAATAATTTCATTAATTGTTTCTCATCAGTCCCATGGCTTCAATTATGATTTCATGTTTTTAAAACCTGAGTTTTTGACTCCTATATTCTCACTTAAGGTGCAAGTACAGATCTCTTAACATTTAACGAACATTGCACTTGGTTGTTTTTTCTGTAGTCTCAGACTCTGAATTTTTCCAACACCAAACCAGTCATCTTCACTACAAATGTTCCTCTTAGTGACGATTTCTGAATTCTTGGAAAACTCTTCAGGGAATATCTTTACATTACTCCTCTTATTGACAGTTCATGAGTTCTTATAAAACAATCCCTCTCAATCACTTTAAATACACAGTGAGTTGCCAAATTACAACTTCTTTATTTTCTAAAAAAACTATCTCAATTCTTTTCACTTTTCACTAGGCCATGATTACCCAATTCTTTGATTATAGTAACAACCTTTTACGTGACCACTCTGGTACTAGTTTTTAAGTTTTTTTCTGGTCCTTCCATAGCCTTGTACTAATCTTTCTATAATACTGCTTTCTTCTTTCTCTTCTGTGTAGTCCAAGTTCCTCAATTGTGTACCAGTCAATCCAGTATTCATTTTTGATTTTTAATTTGAATCTTCTAGTTTTCGATCTACTCTTTCTAATACCCACCAGTTCCTTCACTGTCCTACAGAGTACTATTAATGTTCATATGGACATTTGACTTAATATCGTTTTCTATATTCAATCACCCGTAATGATCTGCCCTCATCATGCTATTTTTTAAATGTTTCCTTTTGAGTTGGCAAAATATTTGGGAACTAGATAGAGATGGTGGTTGCACAAAATTGTGAATGTACTAAATGTCATTAAATCATACACTTTAAAATAGTTCCCAATTTAGTTCCCATCTCTTTCTGTATTGTTTTGACATTTTGTTTTTTATAGAAATAAAATTCAGATACCAAAATAACTATTTTAAAGTGTACCACCAGA